TTTGCCTCCGGTAAAAATTTTTCTGGATCCGCCACTGGTTGCACGACAAGAGACAGAGCTCGTGTTCTCGGAGATAACAAATCATAGAACTCAGACTGTAGACATTCGAGTTGAAATCCAAGACTTAGATATTAATGGCAAATCATACTATGCTAACTTAAGAAAACACATAAATGATTATTTCCTCGCAACTGGATGGCTAGATATAAAGCTTACAAGAGTTTTCAAAACTGGCGATGTCATTAGACTAGATTGGGATAAGTCGAATCAAATGTTCAAATTAAAATGTTTTAGACCTATTCCTACTGCTTAATTGGAAGAAAAAAAAATAGATTTCAGATATTGTGTTTTACAATGGTTCCTTTGGATGTTTCTTAATTATGTAATAAAAACAATGTTGGTTAAGTCGAATCGACCGGACATAGACATGTAACCTAGTGCGCTAATTGGTTCTTAATTTTTTGAATCAATTGATCAATTTTTTGTCATTTGAAACAATCTTTTTAAGAGCATTTGTAACATTTGGATAAAGACAGATCAAAGTTGATGTTTAAAAGTAGCTTACAAAGTTACAACAACCAAAGCACACATACAAAGAAAATCCTAAACAAACCCTACAAATATCACACACAATAAATAATAAAAGCTTCTAAAAACACAACAAATCAAATCTAATGAGAGGATGATTGGGATTGGATTCAAATTTTAAGCAGCTGATATTGCAGCATAATCTTGGTAACGAGACATTGCTCCTTTGAACTGGTGATCTTCTCCTTTGTGAGAGCTCAAGCTATGCGGAATGTATGCTTTGAAGATCTCTTCGAGGTTTGGATTCTGCTTCAGTTCATGGGAAGCCACCTCGAGAGCAGTATGTTGGAACCCTCCGTAGAATTTCTGGCGGCACACGTATCCGAAGAGGAGAGAGATGACGACGAGAGGGACCAAGAGTATTGCCCAGACGAATAACTTGATTCCCAAGTAGCCGAACATAACCACTTGAAATAGAAACAATGCCGCTAGTATGCGCGTGTGAATATGCGGCCACATCCTTCCGTAACTCTCATACGCTGGAACGTACACTTTCAACGCCTGTCAAGATCACGTTTTTACCGATAAAGATCACCTTTTCAAGTGTTTTATAGGTATAGTAAATAGGCAGAAAGTCTGACCTGATTCCTGAGGATGAGCCAGCCTAAACCAAAGTAGACCACTGCGAATACGAGGATTAGCGGAGCGATTACGGAATAGCAGAATGTGATTGTGAGGATGAGCATGTCTCCGGGAACCCTAGTCGCGTAGTTTAAGTCTCCCGGGTACCAAGCTTCTTTGACCTCATCTTCAGTTTTGCAGAGATACTTCTTTTTCAGATGGAATATTATCAAAGGTATGATCCGAGACAGCTCTAGGCCATAACCGACAAAGAACCTGAAGTTAAGAGATTCAAAATCATAAGATATAGAGAAAAAAACGAGCAATGTACATGAAATTTAAGTCGAGATGAAGAAAAACTCACTTGAGAGCAACGTAGGTCAAGAAGAAAGTCGCGCTCTTAGGGAGGCTAGTTGCCAAAATGGTTACAGTGGAGTTAGGATCCTTTTGGATTATCTTCAATGTCTCGAACAAACTCCCTCCAAGGGTTACACCAATAAAGACATTGAAGACTGAGAAGTAGAAGTACTTGCCCGAGGCAGCTCTGATGGCGTGGCTCTGCGAAGGAATCCCCTCGGCTTTGGAGAGGAACAAGAGAAACTTAGGCAACATCGCCAAGAAAACGAGGAGCGCAATCTGAGGAAGGTAAGACTCCAAAATGGTTCTTATGAATGTTATATCCACAACTGGCTTTATGAACGGAAGAAGCTTCTGGAGATTCTTAAGAGTGGTGATTGCAGAGATGGCCACGATTGGGATCATGTAAAACAGAATGGTCACTGCAACTAAGAAGTAGATCAAGTATTGCCGGATAATTCTACCGAACAACTTGATCTTGAGATTCTTCCAGATGAGCTGGCGAGGCTCAGGAGCTTCAGTCACTGTCCATTTATCGACCATCTGGCAGTGTAGAGATTGAGCTGCTAAAGCAGCAGTAACTCGGTCGGTGAAGAAAACCACTGCTGCGGTTTGCTGCTTCTCAGCAAGAACAGCTTTCTGCTCTGTTTCTAGCTTGGCTACAGATTCATTGATTAGCTCGGTGTAATACTCAATGCTGTCTACTTGTTTACCTACTAGCCCAAGAAATCCAGTTTTGTTCGTCGGTCGTTTATTTGTCGATGCATTTATTGCTTCTGCACGCGCAAGCTTCTTCTTGTAACCTTCTAAATCTCCCCATATCTTATTAACCTACAAACAACAAAGAGCGAAGAACAACCAACATTATGATCCATAAACACCTTTAAACAATAGGCAATCGAATAAAAGATTGAAGCTTTAAAGGCAGAACAAGCAGATACCTTGCTGTTTTCTGTTACGACAAGCGATCTGTAGAATGTCTCGGGGTATATTTCTCTGAAGAAAGAATCAATGAACTCTTTCTGTGTCTGCCCGTTGGGTGGGGAAGGTATATCCCTAACAAGAATAGCGAATTGCTCGGGCAATGCATCAGCAGACATCAAAGCTTGAGCTCTCAATGTAGAAACATGTTTATAAGCTTTCCACAACATGAAATATGTGACCAGAGATACCCAGTAAACCGCTCCTAGGAACGCCCATAGCCTCCAACTCTTTTTCTGTTCAAGGAAAGGATAACATTTTGCTTAAAACGATCGAAACCGCGATATCTGAAATCGAATACAAAAAGTCTGTCTTGTGTTTTACTTACTGTGATGTTAGCCATTGATAGATTATCAAGTTGGCTAAAAGTTCCTTTGCTTGTGGTGTCTGTCGCATTCCTTGCATTGGTCTTTATATTGTGGTCTGTAGCAGCTAAAGGGAGTAGAGTCGGCAACAGAAGAACACCAGACAAAGCAAATATCCCAAGAACTGTTTCAAACAAAAAGCCAATTTCAAGACATCAGAAACACTTTCTCATCTTCTTTTTGAGCATTCAAGAAGACGCTCTACAGAATTACAGGCTCAAATAGACATATATGCTTTCAAAAGGTTTTCAACATCAAGAAGACAACAAAAATCAGACCTTTACAACAAACAGGGACAAATTTCTGTCTACTGATTCTAATTTCAATCACCAATGTCTACAAGTAATGAGCATAAAGATCAAAAGGTACTTCCTTATAAGCAGATATGGACAAAGTTAAAACAGAACATAGCAAACAAAATTGTCAGAGCCAAGAATATACAAACAAAGAAACGATTTTTCCCCCAAATTGTCTCCAAAGATCGAAACTTTCTTAGGTTAAATTCCAAACCCAGATCAGTACCAACGAAAATCCACCAAACCCTTGAATTAGAACCACTAAAGTTGCAT